CAGTTAGATGATCCTTTACAAATGTCCTGTTTTAAAAATACATACATATATCAAAATCATTCTTTACTAAAATATGACATGAAAATATCATGACAGTTAAATATATTTCGAAATATAATCACAATCAAGTATATGGGAATTAATTACTACTACAATTGGTCTGTTACTTCCTACATAACACAAGGATATATAGAAATCAGTTTTGTTTAATGATGTTTTCCATGTAATGTTTCTTTACTCACACCTGTACATTATCTTTTTATATACTAAAAATAATATCCTACTGGCCGCAAATGATATACATTTCCTGCATTTTACATTATTGTGACTACTTCCTGCAGCGGGATATGTGTAGACAGACTGGTTTCCTTGAGACTCTGTGGGAACAAAGGGGATTCCTATGCTGTTTCAGTTGTGTGAATGAGACCTTCACAGGCAAATATATGAAAGGTGTGTGTGTGTGTGTATGTGTGTGTGTGAATAACATGGAGGCAGATTTTGTTGTCTGGTTAAAGTATATGATAAGTTCTAAAATGCACTTCAGTCTGATTATTATTTGGATAACTCCAAGCTGTGGTTGAAGCCAGAAATAAGTTTTAAAGAGGGATTTGAAAGAGGAGAGGAATTTGACCAGTTTAAGGCGGTAACTCCAGTATGAAACAATTCATTTCCATTGGCATTCATTTAATTTTAGATATTTTTTTAAAAGTAGAGATTTAATGTCCAAGCTCCCTAGGACCATTTCGTTGTCTCTCACATTCATCTGAATAAAATCCGTAGAGATCATTAGCTCACACACTTATTACAGAGCAGTGGCATGGAATATTCAGAATTATTTCTGCATACCTCACCCTTCTGAACTAGTGCCTGAGGGAGAATTAGAATCAGGACAGCCTAAGGCTAGCCACACAGCAAGGAGTGGTTCACCATAGGTTCAAATTCTGATGAAGAAATCCTCTAAGGCTCACCTGGAAGAGACAGCAAAGTCACCTATTACCACAACTAATGTCTTATTTTTTTAATCCATTAATAATTAGTTGACTCTTGCATCCATGTGGTATCATATTATTTGGATCTGTGGTTTGTTTGTTTGTTTGTTTTGGGGTTTGTTTGGGGACTTGGGGGGGGGTTGTTTGTTTTTTGGTCAGGGAAATAGAAATGTGATGTTCTTTGGTAATATTACTTGGAGATTTGTGTGTTGTATCCATTGGTACAACTAATCAGGAAGAGAGAAAAAATTGTGCAAGTCAAGGTAAACACCAGCACAATAAATAGCTTTTTCTTCTTCTCCCACCTGTAGATTTCTTTCTTATTGTTAATCAATGAAACGTATGGCTCTCAAGCTTGGAGAGTTTGCTGTTCTTTTGCTTTCCAGATAGATTTTTACAAACCCTTAATATAATCTTTGACTGATTTTTGGTTAATGGAGTACAGTGTTACAAATGTTTAAATAAGACCTAAAGCTGTACATAACATATGAAATTACCATTGACAATTAGAGTTAGATCACGAAATAAAAAAAGTAAATAAAATAGGTCCCTAATATAGTTCAGTTTATTCTGTCAGAGAATTTTTTTGTTTTCTTTTTCTAATTATATTAAGACACATCTTTTCCAGAACTATAGTGTGTAGGTTTTTAGCTCTTTGAAGACTGAACTGAGGTTGATGAAGGTCACTAATTGCAAAATACAATGTCTCTATCTGTCACACAATATTCATAGTTAATTACTTTAATGTGTAAAGTATCACACTGAATAATAATTTATATTTCCAAGTTCTACCTTTTTCACAAGCAGAATTTCCAAGCCACATTAGTTTTCATGGCATCAATAGAATATTAAAGAAAAGAGTCTTTGAATAGATTTCAAAGGGGAAATGAAAGTTCGATATATATTTATTAAGCTCCAGGCAAAAACTGGTTAATGACTGAATATCTGCCTAAATGGGATTTTTTTTGTGTATTAAACAAGATTTTTTTTACCAGTTCATGTCTAGGTCAAATAAAGTTCATTTATGTCCAATAGATTATTCTAGTTAAAAAGAAAGGCAGAGATTAAAGAGTGTAGTGAAATACCTTCCAATCTGCCATGGATGCAGTATTTAATATTAAAGTCAGGTGACACAAATGCAGCTAGCCCTTGGTAGCTAACCTAGAGACCTACGGGTGTTGAGCTGGAAAAGATGAAGTCTGATTTTGACTTCATAGTATAAACAGAATGTCATCCACACATCAAAATTCCACCCTCAGTGAACCTCCGGCACGGTTAATGATTATAATCTTCACATTTAATCATGGGAACACAGTGACAGGCAAACAAAGGTTAGCTAAACTGACAGTTCAGACTGTTTCAATGGAATAAGGGAACTTTGCAAGTTTTATTTAAAAATGCATATACCCTTCCAACAGCACTTTTCATCTTTAAACTGGAAGTTTGTACAAAACCTAGCTGCTTGAAAGAACTGGCAGTGAGCATAATTAACCTTTAGATGGCAGAAAGGCTAGAAATTTTGATTTCTTTAAAACTGTTGCTACACCAATAACACTTTCAAGGTTAAATTAAGTTGAGGGTACTTAAAGGGTGAAGGGAAGAACACAACACTAACATGTCAAAGGGGAAAATGCCATTTTAGAAATGACACAGCTATCTTAGAGATATTCTCTTGGTCTAAAGGACAATGACAATTATTGAGAACAATATTTCAAGATATGTCTTATTCTCCTTGCAATTTTGGTTGTCCACAAAACCATATGTCACTTGCACTCCTCCTTCTTCCCCATATCAAGTCAAAAATTGTGAATCTTCAAAATACTATGTAAGAATTTCAAAGTGTTTATTATCTTCACATATTTAATGTTTTTTGGGGGTGTATGTTATAAAGATATCCAGCTTCAATAAAGAATAATTAATGAAAAGGCCACTTTTAATTCTTAGCGATAAAGTGAACCTAACAAAAGTATTTCCTAAATTTTATTATTAGCATTTGAAAAGTAAATGCTCATTTGCTATTTAAAAAACATTAAACTATTTTATTTCAATGCACGCATATACTTCATCAGGAAGGTGCTTCATAAAAACAATGTAAATAATATCATTACATTAATAACATTCATGCTACATTGATAATTCCATTTCAGATTTCATTAATCCATTTTCACTATCAAAATGCTTAACAAATGTGTATTTGAAGTCAAAATAAACCAATAAATAAACAGCTCTATTAGTAACCTATAATGCAATTAAAATAAAATAACTTAATGAAAACATACTATGCAGAAGAGGGACAGATTTTCAAAAGTATTTAGGCAGCTAAACATGCAGCTAAGTCTTTGGGGGATTTTCAAAAGTGCTTTAAAAATCTGGCCTAGGATTTTTATTACTCAAATCAGATGATTTATAGCAGATTAAATAAGTGCATAAAGAGATCAAAACAGAAATAATATATTGAGAATAAAGCAACACTGAATAAAACTGAAATACTTTTCATTTAGTTGTAACTTCAAAGATACATTGAGGAAAATGGAATTTAGAATCAGAAGTTAGCAACATATTGCTTGATTTCCTTTCTGTTTTGTTATGTAGCCTTAACAAAACAAAAGAAAAATAAATAGTGGCAAATTCTATGTTGACTTATCACCCCTGTCATCCCATTGAGCTCAGTGGCACAGACATAGCCACTTCCATGGGAGAACTGCATGGTTAATGTTAGTTCAGTGACCTCTTTTCATTCAACCTACATTTTTGGCCAGATTCTCTCCTCAGTTGACTGACTTCTATGGAGTCAAATGGGGTAATGGAAGACTCAGGTGCCTTGAGGTTTTCATTTCTCTAATTATTCCAGGGACTATTTTATATATATATATATATATATATATATATATATATTTCCATTTTACTTTTTTACTTTTCGGTCATTTCTCCCTCTGTGGATCATTCTTTTGTGGCCAGATTGTGGATATTGCTGTTACTTTTGAATAATTATTTCTAAACTTTGTTTTTGTTTTCCCCTTTACTAGCTTACCCTTTTCATAGCATACACAGCAATTGTGCCTGAAGCATAAGGATTCCTCAGAGGAATCCTTATTTTTGCACAATATCTACCTAGCTTGGCAAATATGTAAGTCAGAATAGAGTTACAGACATTAGGCAGGAAAGTGGCTAAACAGAGGAATAACAGATGAGCTGATGTTGATCAGCCACTAAATGGCATATATTAGCAGGTAATGCTCCTATTTTCAGACTAAAATTTAATATCCTTTGTAATAACACAGGGATGCCAAACCTGAACAAATATTTTAACCTGTTCATGGAAAATATTTTATTGGACACTTAGCTTGGATACACTTTTATAGCAGATGAGGCACACAGATTAACTGCACAAAAATACCAGATAGAACCATTATATGGCCATTTGCAAAGCTGCTTCTAGGTAGGCATGAACAATTGCAGTAATTAGATGTGTAAATTTGATGTATAACAGCACATCAGTTTGAAAACCAAACCCAGAGTGGTTGAAAAAAGGAAAATGATTTTTTTCTCGTTTTTCTGTGATTAAAAGAAACAAGGAATGAAGAAAAGATAAAAAGTTGGACCTTCTTTCAATCTGAGGTCTGATCTCACACTGAAGTTATTGGGCATTGTTCTACTAATTTCAACTGTGAAATGCTGTATGATAAACACTACACTTACAAGCATGTGTTTGAAGGGATTATATCATTAATGTGGCCTCTAAAAACACTCACACAATAAATTTAGGAGCTTGCTATATTTTTGTGAGTAGCTCACACAGCCAAATCCTTTAGAGAGGCTGCATCCCAGCATAGTACTGTAACACAGACCTATTTGTTCAGCCATTTACATATTTAATTAACACTCTTGTGTTACAACTCCATCACTGATTAATAGGTCACATAATGGGAAAAAACACCACAGATGTAATTGATTTTAGAATGTTAAGGAAGACAAATAACTTTTCAGGAGGAAAACTAACAATTAAAAAAAATCACCAAACAAAAACCCCAGTAACTCCAGAGCAGAAAGACAAAGCAGATTCAAACAAGACAACAGCATTAGATGAAAAGGCTCAACCACCAGCAATAGAGAGACCATTTCAGGTTAGTGAATCCTCTTCCTCTTCACATTAATAACTGAATACTGTCTGAACTTAACACACCATGAAATTTATTGATTGTGCTGTGAGAGATGTCTGACACAGAGAAAAACATTTGCTAAAGCTGCAGTCTTATCAGCTTCTACAGTGAAAGGGCAGTGGGGGAGAGTGGCTACTTAAATTCATCCCAGTTAGAAAGAGGACACCACCAAACTATGTATTTTCTCTCCTGATTAATCCAAGTCTGTCCGCAAACTCCATTTTTATTCAGATTAACAAATCCTTGGTAAATGCAGGCTATAAGATAGGTTACAGTTTAATCCTTCAGATAGCCAGACATATGGATAAACCAAGCAGGATTAACTAGCTGGGACTGTAAAGCCAGGAAACAATGTCTGTTAATTAGACAAGGTCAGGACTATAGTGGGGGGAGGAGCAGAATGGAAAATAAAACAGTTGCCTCAGCTCCATAAAGAGTGTGTATGTGTGCATGTATATGTGTGAGAAAGAGAAAGAATATAGATATGTTCTGCTTTGGACCTTTCTGGAGTATGAAAATTCTTTTCACTGCAAATGAAATCTGAAGTCATCTATTTAGGTTTCTTTATTCCCATAAAGAGGAAGATACTTAATTTCCCACCGTTTTTCAGAATTTCCTTTTCCTATGCTACTTACAAAGAATCAGACCTACAGTCTCACAGGAAAAAGGAGGAAAAACAACATAAAATATCGGTATCATTATAATTTCTGTCTCTGCCACTCACTCTCCCAAAAAAGATATAAATACCTTCAAAAATAAAGTGCAACAAAACAGTAACATATCTTGTGGTATGTATCTCAAGACATAAGGCACAGAGAAGCACAACAAAAACAACTTCAGCATCACTAATTTCTGGTAGCATCTGACATTTCTCAAGGTGTCGAGAGAGAAAGAACGTAGTAAGGTATAGAAATGAGGGAGGTATGTATCCTCCCTTCATTTTTATGATTTTATAGGTGGAATCACCAAATCTTTAGATCTAAAAAGTATAAGAGCAGAAGGCTTCCTACACACACCATCATATCTCTGTTTATCCCTTCCTTTTCCAGCTCATTCTTTATTCCTCTACCCCCACTTATCCATCCCATTATAGGAAATAAGTAAACAGGAAAATAAGTAAAAGTTGTTCAAGGAGGGTCATCAGTTAACAAAAGGGCCATCTCAAGAAAGGAGAAACTCAGGACTTTTGAATGCTGAGAAAGAGCAGTTCTCTTGGAAACAACATCCAGCTGAGAGAGACCCACCCAGAAACACACTCCAGAGCTTTGAAAATTCATTGTGAATTTCACCTGCACTTTGGGATGACAGCTACTCTTGTCTGAGAAATTCTCACAGGAAATGTGAAGTTCTAATGAGATCAAACTATCCTAGCCCTAATTTTTAAGTATTGTGAAAACCTTCTTGAAAAGCATTCCTCAGCTACATTTCAAAGCTGTGAAAAAATTCTGCCCTCAATTTACAACTGCTTAATTTTTGCTTTTTAAAAATTTTCATAATCAAAACTGCTTTTTTCTTTGTAAAAATAATCATAAACTCAGCAACACAGGGAGATCAGCAGAAGGTCAATTTTTCCAGCACTTGAGAAAACACATTTTCAAAGCCAAAACTGGGCTCAAATGGGGAGCAGAGTTCAGACTCATGAGATGTTTGTTTATACTGTATGTACAGTGATAGTCTCTTGGGTGATGTGGAAAAAGGTTCAACTATATTTTCTCTGACTTTGATAGTGCAATGCCTTTAATGGGAGCACAAGAAACAAGTGGATTAATTTGGGCGAGATAAATATTATACCCAGTTTGAATAGATACAAGCTGTAACTTTTTTTCCCCCCTTTGGTTCTTTCTTGTATAATAGAAAAAATGTAAAACTGTGGAGTTCATTCCATCATGTGGAAATCAATAATATACTCCAATCTCTAAGTATTTCTAGATCTCATTTGGTAACTCCCTACACATGCAATTTTTGTTTTGACTGACTCCTTAATTATGTTTAAGGACCTGGGTCAATATTGTTAGATATATTATGTTTACACATTTTTTTATTCAGTTTTGAATATTGTATTAAGTATGGCTTAGAGATTATTGTTAAGAGACATTTTAACAAATTTAGGAATAAAGACAAGGAAGAAGGGAACAAAAGATAGGTCACAAAAGTAGAGAGGTCTAACAGTGCAACAAAGAATGCCAGAACAATGTGGAGCAACCACATCAAGATTTATTAAGTGTGATTCTGTTCTAAAAAGTGTCTATATCAAATAGGGCATCTTCTTACTAAAGAGATATGTTCTCTCTGAATATTCAGAATCAGTACAAAAAAACCAAAAATAGTTATTACGATATCTTATGCCTATTTACCCTGTAGAACCAACACAGCTAAGAAAGCGAAATATTCTATTCCACTGTGTGTATCTTCAAACTTCTCCCCACAAATTGACAATTATAGGAGCAACAAGACATCTAGTCGGCCCCACTGAGTTTGAGTAGCTGTCAAGGTTCCTTATAACTAAGGACCTAAGATAGCTAGCATTTTTTTTTATGAAGCATGAGCAGGAAAGAACCTAACATAACTGTGGGTAGGTCTACACTTAAGGCAGCATGTAAAATATAGACACTGCATGTGCAGTTAGCATGAGTATAAATAGTAATGCATATGGCAAGGCAACATCACTGGCATGTAGAGTACCTGCACATTAGAATAGCAGGGTGCATGCTATTAGTTCATGGGGGAATTCTACAACTGTTGAATTTGGAGTCATAGCAAAATTGCAGAATCCCTATGTAGCTTTCTACATGCCAAAGCATTGCCTCCCAATGTCTACTCTTATTTTTATCATTGCAGTGTCCTGTCTCCTCTCTGATCCCTTTCTCCTATCACAGTCAAATACTCCAGCAGTATGCAGGGAAAGGCTCCGTCAGGATAGAGGTATAGTGAAAAGCTACATATGGCCGCATGGACACAATGCCTTTCACTGCAGCATGAAGCTATGTGTACCCTACACACCACCTCAAGGATGAGGGCTTATCTACAGGGTGCATTAGTCTGCTAACAGGACCTTAGTTTATAATTTTTACAAAAATATTTCTTTAACGTGTTGCTGAAGATTATAAAATCACATCTCTAAAAAATCATCATCCCCCTCCCGAACTGCCATATGGCATAGGGGCACCAGTTTAATAGTACTGCATAGGGCCCCATAAATACACATAATTTGCACAAAATACACATTCCCAAGTTCCAAACAGTAGTATATTAGTGTGCACTAGGAAATTTTAAGTGACTGCCAATGTGGTCCACACAATGTGGACCATCCATTAGTCCACAACACACTAAGGTGTACTACAATCAGCTACTAACCCACATCACAAGAAGACAAGCCCTGGAAGTCTGGAGTGAGTTTGCAGAGCTAAGAGTTGGGGTGAGGGGAATCCTAAATTGACAGATGTGTGAAAGATTAGGAATATTATGTGGAGTGAAATTGTGGCCCACTGAAAAATCAGTGGCAAAATATTACTTCACAGTGATCAGTTTTTTAGCCCTGGTGTTCATCTGATGAGCTGAAGTTTATCAAACTTTGCTGGGGATCTCAGAAAAACATCCCCTCACTATTTCTGGTACCTTCTTGCTTTTAGAATAAGAAAGAAATAATGAGACAGGTCTTTTCTGGGTGATATTTGAAACATCTGCTTCCTGTATGAATTAGAACAGAGGTACACAAAAACAAAGAACACAATCAAAGAAATTAATCAGACATTTTTGAGCTTCAAAAACAAGGTGGTTGTAAAAACATTAGAAAAAACAGGCATAATTTAAACATTTACATACATTTGTAAGATGAAAAACATCTACTTTTCAATGTAGTTTTTGTTTTATAGGTTATGAAGTGGACCTTTTATGCAAAGTCAAATAATAATTTTGAAAATATTTTATTGAAAACATGAGTAAAGTGGTTATCATGATGATTTATGACATTTTTTTCATATACCAAAATTCCAGATTTGCATAAATAAATTTAATTTGAATAACCATTTCAATAAAGTTTTATAATGTTTTTATTTTTAAAAAAATTAAGACAACACATAATATTCCATAAGCAATGAATACAGTACTGAATTTGTATAAGATATTTAATTGCCCATTTTTAATTGTCCATTATTCAGCAAAAAAATTTTTTTGGAAATTTCAACCCTCTCTACCACAATTGTGTAAATGAACCAACACGTGCTTTTATTTTAATTGGAAATTTTGACTCTCATTTCAGTGTTCTCTGCTAAGTCCCATGATTCAAACTCTGATGGGTGGGAGGTTGTAATTCTGTGCTAACTGATCCCTGATACTCCCTCTACAAATCTCCCTGTCTGTATTAATATTTTATAAGTGATGGAGTTACCACATTATAGAACAGCACAAGCTGTCAGGTCCACTGAAATGTTTTGACTTTTCAGAGAAAGGAAAACACATGTGGGCAGTCAGGCACTTTTGCAAAAAGAAAACTGTTTTGATGCAGTGTAGTTCAAGCAATTGGCTAAGGCTAGTCCACTCCATCCCTCTCTCCCCCTCAAAAAAACAGGTTTGTGCATCTCAAAACAAGACAAAATACTTTCAGCAGCTACTGGTTTTATACATTACACTATGTGAGCCATTATGAGAGAATGACAGTGCCTGTATTGTCTAGCCCAAGGCAAGGACATGCCTAATATATCAAGAAAAAAAGAGATTAAGTACTGGTTGCATCTCTGATCTGTTTTCACTTGAGTTTGTATGTCATCACAATAACTGTATTTCACTGTTGCAGTCAGTGTCAGGGATGAGGATGATAAAAGAAAAGGAAAGAACCAAACTTAGAAGTTATACCAATTTTTTGTTTAATAGTGGTAAAATGAGAA